CCCCCGCCTTAATTTTCGTTGAATTCCACAATAGAGTTACAAGTTCGGCTCCTTATCTGCAAGTAGCTGCTTCACTTGCCCATCTCTTGACAAATGCCTTCATTATGCTATTAGGTAAATCCGATGCATTGCCTTACCACTAACAAGCCCATATGAGAGTACTGTAACGACCCACAAACAGTAAATCTAGCCCCTTATAATTACCAAATTAGAGGCCTCGTCTCTAAGCTGTGAAAAGATGTAACCCGGGAGAGGAGGGGGGTGGGGTGGGGGGTGAGAATTGAAATGGGTAATTTGCTGGTTAGTTCACATGAACTTGCTAGATGAGACTTACGTGGAGAAGAGATGACACGTGTTTAATTAGGTGCAAAATGAAGGAGAGAGCGGAAACATGTGTGTGTGGGTGTGCAACTTCTCCGCTAGGGAGCTTGAATTGAGTTAATTAATATGTATCTACTACTACAAAGTTCACTCTGAAAAACTTAAATTTGAGGCTACGAGACCTTTAAAAAATGAAGATAAACGCAAAACCTTTGTTGGGGGCTTCTGGTGCTAAGTGAAGCGCACTCATAGTGTTGTACTGCTAGCTGAAAGCGTAGAGCCAAGACAAGAAATTCGAACATTTTTGGCGTATTCGGGTGAGAACACACTCTCTTAAGTTCATCCTCGATGCACCGGCTTATCGTTCAATCCGAATGCCACGCTCAGAGTCTCATCGACGACTCAATCGCTGCCATTAATGGTCGCGCAGTCTGCCAAAAACATAAGCAATCCTATATGAGAACGCTAATTTAATCAATACAAAAAAACGATCGATTGAGATGAAAGTCGTTTTCCTTCTGAATAGCGTGCAGTAGAGAGAGAGAGAGAGAGAGAGAGAGAGAGCAACTGAGGAGTTATTAGTCTTGAGATGACTAAAATCAACTAGCAACCAACAGAAACTTAACTCCGCGTGTTTTGAGGCAACCGGTAACCATGGGAAACGAGGTGGGGGGGGGGAGGGGGGGGAATGCATGTAATATCCTTTGAGAACACACTGAAGACACGATGCCGAAATTTAATAGCCTTTTCGAATGAATGGCACCACACCTTCAAATATCTCCAAACTATGAATATTTTAAAGCAAACCCCCCCCCCCCCAACCCGCACTCATTAACTTTTCTCAACGCACACCGAAATGCAATATTGTGGTGATTTATTGTCTCGAGCACTGTGAAACGATATCAATTATCAATTATATGTGTGACGAAATTGCTACAACCTCAATTGCCACACCCCCCCCCCTCCAAAAAAGAGAGTAGTGAGATTGTTAAACTAATTGGCAATTAAAAAAAGTTAATAGAATTTGTAACATTTAATTCCCGCCCAGAGTAATAATCTTTCAAAATGAATGGAGGAGACGAACAAGTGAATAGACTTACCTCCACGTGGTGCACACTGGGCAACGTATATTCATACGGCAAACAAGTCTATTAACCGGCATTCGACTTCTCACTTCAAACTACCATCACCTCACTGTATTTCAAATTCGACCACTTTAACCGTACTCATCTTACCTTTTCTCTGCTCTTTTGTCTGTCTCTGTCACATCTGTGAATCATTATTCTGTCCCCCTCTCGACTTTTTGTCACTTTGATGTTCATCCTCCTCTCTGTGAAGCCCAAAATCAGCTAAAGGGCTAATGATAACTATCAAAACGCCTGGCATTTGAAATAAATAAATAAATATTTTCCGCCCACTTACGAAACAAAGGATACAGAGGAAAAAGCTAACCCCCACACCAAGCATCACCTTTCAGTTAATCAAAAAACCACCTCATAGATGATTGACAGAGCGCGCAAGACACGGAAGAAAGAAAGGTAATTAAAGCGACGATGACAGATGGACTCACCTAGCCTCATTGATGAATTTGAACGTCTCATCCCAAAAAGGCAGAAGTTGGGCTTTTTCATCGTCGTAGACGCGGATGTTCTTGTAGACAAATTGGTCGGAGGGAAAGAAGTTGTCAATTTCGCGAGTGACGTTGACTATGTGAGTGACATTGTTCCTACGGAGCTCGTCGCCGTTCGATGCGTTGAAGGAGCTACCCAGGAGGAGATGGTCAAAGATAAATGAGGGAACATCCATTTGACCATAGATAATCAACACCTGGTCAGCGATAAATTGGCGTTGGTCCTTCAGTGACATTCCCATCTGCTGTTCAAGCATTTCTCGAAGCTAAAAGACGCGAAATGAGGGGGAGGGGCGGTTACTTGGCAGAAGACCGGCAGAACTCCTCAAACCCATAATTGCTATTTTTGGTTCAATATCGACGGCTGTCGGAAAATCCAGAGGTCACGAAGACAAGAATTTTTAAATCCCAGTTTATTTACTCATGAGTGATTTGCAATTAGCTTCAGGAATTAACAAAATCTAATCAAGCAATATATGTGTGAAAAAGCCGCCCTTGAGAAAATTGAAGCCTCACTAAAAAGAAGACTTCATATTAGGCGACTTGAAGAAAAAGCAACGTGATCGGGGAGGTTTATTCCTGAAAGTTGACTTAAATCGCTCTTCTCCAAGAGGAGAAAGCGAATAGCGAGAGCAAAGTGGACCTTCCAGGCTCAAGCAATTACAAGGTGGTCATTTAAAGCATAACATTTTGACTATCGTTTCAAATTTCTTGACGTTGAAACAGAAAAAAGAAAGTCCTCATATTTTGGCTTAGAATAGGAAAATTCGGAAGTTGAGCAAACTGATGAATTGTAAATTTTGAAGGAGGGGGGGGGGTGTTGTAGGAAGTAGTTAGTTTTTTTTGTTTTGCCGTATCCTGTGCATTTAAAGCGCCTTACAAGAGTTTGGTGTAAGAACGTGGTTAGAAGGCTCGCGAAGAATGATGCTAATAAACTCAAAGATCTGCTTCCAATCCAATTCACAAAGACATAATGGAGCTGTTTTGTTCAATCAGATTAAAATTGGGACTGGAAAGTAGGGACAAAGTATACAAGCCACAAAGGTTGATCTCTGAAGACAAAGAAGTTTGGCGAAAGCGATTGGATTCGTGAAATTAAGTAACTCCCCAGCACTGAAGGAGAGGCACCAATTCATTTAAAATGCGACAAAAAAATTTAAATGAATATGTAGCTCTAGAAAAGTAGAAAATGATAAAAGTCAATACTCTAGAAAAAAAAATTTCCGTAAAACCTCAGATACAGTAAACTATTACCCACAATCGGATGTAAAAAAAAGCACTGAGAATTAAACAAGCATTCATTTTTGTTGTAAATTAGTTAACACAATAATCATCAAATAAATACCTGACTAACAGAGTAACCAAGTGTGCAACCACTGAGATTGTGTTCCTAATTATGAGGTGAGGGAAAAGGAGTGGTAACATCTCTATCAAGTTACGCACACGTTCAATAATTCAATTACTGAATTTGATATATGTAAAAAAGGCCCACAGTCTCAAATTTATATTCGCGCTTTGTTTTTCCCAATTATTGATTCAAATCACCGGAGGGAGGGAGGGGGGGGGGTTATAATTTAGCCATTTATTTGAAATTTGTTATTGATCCGATGTGCGATTTAGATAAAGCCGTAAGAAAATGTTGGAGTGTTATTATTTGCAATAAAGTATCAAACGAACAAGAAAAGCACAAAAACAGTGGGAAAGCACATATAGTTGGTCACACAATTTAAGATTATGAAAAAAATAGGATAGAATAGGAGGAAACCAAAATACCCCCAAATTACCCCCACAAACCCCTTAAAACTACTCTATTCCGAATTCTTGCCTAGCCTACTTCCAATTAATTGATCTCAACTAGAACATGAAAATGGATACCACATCACTTAAGACTGAGAAATTTAGCTACGTGAGAAGACTTCAACAATTTGAAACAAAAAAAACACGCAATGTGTTGAGATAATAGTGAGAAAAGAAAAAAATTAAAAAGTACAGAGTGGGTAAGAGTGATTAAACATGCGTGAAAAACGACTAAAAGTAATTCTCATTGACCTCTCTCTATTTTAAGGCAAAAAGAGAGAGAGAGAGATCAGCTAATGGCCTAGATAAACACATGAGCACAGACACCGGATCAGAGATCAGCAGGTAAAGTGAAAAAGAAATTGACTTATTTACAGCGTTGCCAATTCAAACTACAGAGAAAGTAGAGCAGAAGGAATTGCATGCAAGACATTTGTTTATTTATATCAAATGGCAGACGTTTTGATGGTTATCATTAGCCCCTTAGTTGACTTCGGGCTTCACAGAGAGGGGAAGGAACATCAAAGAGAAAGAAAGCCGAGAGGGGGGGGGGAACAGAAGAATGCTTCAAAGACATACAAGACATTTAATTCAATAAGTGAGTAGGCCCTCTATGTTTTATGCAGTGAAGTAGTAGCGATGCACAAAGAATCAGAAAGAACTTTATTTTCCCATTAATGTTTTGAATAATCTTCATATTAAAGAGAATAAGTATAAACAGGAGTTTGTCTGCTTGCCTGAGATGCAAATAACCCATCATCCCAAACCACCCGTTTCTAACCCCAAGTTAGGAGTTCGTCCTATAGGATTAATCTAGAAGAGAACTTCTTTGTTCTAAGAGCGTCTCTTTTTCATTTAGTTTTATGAGAAAACTGCTTAAAAACAAAGAGGAACGCCTTAGACACACCAAGGAAACGCAATTATTTATAATTTAATTGCCCCCCAAATACACCGCGAGAAGTAAGTACCTGGGCATGTAAACAGAAACAAACACGTGAGTTTGCACAGGAGGAGGGAACACAAAATCGGTCAGAATTGGAGTTAGAATGGCAAGATCGGAAAGAATAGAAGGCACTTGGATATTACTCATACATTTTTGATTCAACTCACCTGAACTACAGTAACGTCTTCTAAATCCACGGTACCCATAATTCTCTGAAGGTTCAACCGAATAGTATTTTTGAACTGTTCGCTTTTTCGCCTGAAATCACGAAAATAAATGACTGAGAATTCTTGTTAAAACCATTTAGAAACCTACATTGATACTAAATTTAGCAAATAAGTTCAGTAGCTAAAGTAATTACAAGTCTCTAATCTAAAAAGAAACATAAAAAAATAATAAGAATAAGCAAATAAACAAGTAATAATGAAATAATCGGCTACTAAATAAATTTTCAGCTTAAAAATATGTAAAGGAATAATATGAAGCATTTTTGAGTTCTTATTTAACGTTAGAATAATTGTTAGTACTTTCTATTTCCTTGACAGAAAAAAATATGTAACCCATATAAGAAATATACCCAAATCTTATGTGAGCCACATTGGAAGAAACTAGATTAAGGGCGCTAAAATCGATTAGTATTATTACATTCAAAATCCAAATTATTCCATATAGACCCACTTCATTCCTAGATTCAAAAGCCCTAAAAATAGTTCTTAAGATAATTTCAACGTCTTATGGACTGCGATCAGCGAAAGGAGCCACTATACAACTAGACCCGCTTCCAAAATACTCGGTTGAATGCGTACAGTATACCAAATAAGGAAATAACGAACCTGTAATATTTGACCTCACTTAAGATATAAGCAAAATAAATAAGGAAAGTCTAAACGTACTCATCTTCAGAGACAGGTCTTTCAATGCCGTCTTTAGGAGGGGAGGCTCTACCCATATCCTCAATATCCTCCATTCTATTCCATTCAAACATCATAAAGGGCTTGGAAGTTGGAAGCTGTTTATAGTGCGATACCCAACCATGACTTGGGCCTTTGGAGTGGTAATAATTTTGTCTGGATACTTTACAACCCTGCATGATGGCCTGATGTGCTGCCCAAAGAGCCTGAACGGATATCGGTTTGAAGAGACGGACATTATCTTTTGTTATTAGCTTAAAGCCTCTAGAAATATAACTAAGGTTTCATTGGTCTGACTCAATTAAGCTACAAAAGTAGACAGATTTTCAACTTACCCATCGCCATCTAATTTAATAACCATATCTTGATAAATGGGTAAAATAAAACCGATAGAAACGTCTCCTTTGTGAACATCGATACCCATTACCACAGACTCTGTTGTGTTTTGAGAGCCAACAGTAGAAATTACAGCAAGATATCGATACCAGATTAGAAGAGGAGAACCGCTTTCTAGTTTGACAATCTTAATAGAGTATATGTGAACAAAATTCAAACATACTAGTTTCACATAATCATTGAATCGTAATATTTGAAGAATGCGTTTTAAGTGCTCATGCAGATTATCTGAAAAAAAAAGTAATAACGCGATATGATAGAACATACCATGGTCGCGAACAACGCTTATACGCCTATGTGATTTAACGCTGAGGGTCACGGCACTAGTCTTGCGCACAAAGAAATCCTCACTGTGGCTAAAAAACGAATTTATTATGTCATAGCATCAGGTTATAAGCAAGTAGAACAAAATTATTTCAACTAATAAACCATACCTGCTTTTCGAGCCAGTTTCCACGGCGGTTTCGGAGTCCTCTTCAACATTAACTAATTGTTCCGAGTTCTAGTTATATATTAATTACAACAAGATTGAGGAAATACCTGTTCTTGAGTTACAAGTGTCCTGTCTATCGTTATCAAGGACATCGTAATTAGATTCAAATGATCCACATTCAAATTAGAGATATTAAACAGTTATGACCTTTAAGTAACCTATGATCAATTGTACAGGAAATGATGCTTAGGTTACCACAAAATGACAATATTTTGTGATTAAATTATTCTATTAAAATTAAATTCTCGCATTTGTATTTAAGTACCTATTTTAACATTACTTTAAGTTATTTAAATATAATTCTGATAATTTATATTAATGTGAATGTCACTTGTTTATTCCTTGATGATGCTATTGACTCCATTAAATTTAAGGTAAATACAGAACTCTTCAATATATTCTTACGTATTTACTAATGAAAAACTTAAACCCTGGGAAATGGGCAATAAAATTTAATTACCAAACAAGACGGCTTCGCATTTACGCGAAGTAACTTGACCGACAAATGAGAGAAGAATATTAATTATCAATGAAACATTTTTTTATTACTTAAATTGCGTTTTATTTACCAATATATTAATGATAATGAAATTGAGATTTTAATAGCATATTAATTTTTTAAGATTTTTGTCATCCTTTGCAATTCTGCAAAGGAAATTGGTTTCATATGGATATATATCTATAGCTACCTATTTGGATATAAGCTTTTTTTAAATTGATTTAATAATGATGACATTGTCTCATCTATCAGGACATATCTACATCAATTTTCATTGAACAGTAGAACCTTCTATTGAGTAGAATTTAGTAACCCACTTGAAGGCCAGGTAGCTGCAGATAGTAATAATTTGTCCAAAACTCATAGTTTGTCTAGGCTTCGTGCATGGTTGTAAGAACAAAAGCAAATTGTAGACAGAATTTTTCTGCAAGATTCATTTAATTGAAAATAATTAGCTACACGTCTGACAAATATTGATCTCGAAGACCCGCTCCTTTTGCACACCCAAACGTTAGCAGATTGGCTTTCAGAATGATTTAGAGTTTTGATGTTTCTCACTCCATAGTACTCTCCTCTTGAGCTTTGTTGGCTTGATACGAATGAAAAACTTAGATTAATAGATAATTTCTGTGGTTACACCAGTACCCATGTATGTTTGGTTTCCCCTACCCTCAATCTGTTCACTAATTATGCGGTGCGGAGGAGAAGAGTATCAAACGCCATGCTAATGTTACAAATTTCTGCTAGTTGATGAACAGAATTAAAACATTTTTTAAGACCCTGCCCAGGTTTTGGAGTGGGGTTGAATTGAGTATGTAATCGACGTTCAAGGCTGCTATTTGGGAGCAAAACTCACAAAGTAGAAATTTTCTTGCTAATCTATTTTTTAGATTTATTTAAATTTGTTGTTAACAACATATTCTTCAATTTCCAGGTGAAATTCAAATTTATCATATGCGTAATCATATTTTCAATTGGTTTTACGAGCCACCACTGACAGAATTGAAGTAATTCAAGAGAGACGCTATTATCTATCTGGCTATGTATTAACTTTAAAATAATCATATTTATATCAAATGACAGGTGTTTTGATAGTCACCATTAGCCCCTTAGTTGACTTCAGGCTTCACAGAGAGAAAGGAACATCAAAGTTGAAAAAGTCGAGTGGAGGGGGGGGGGG